CTTGACTTGACCAGGGTCGTTTTGAAGGCAAGTTCAGAAGCCAAGACTGGTCTTGCCTGGCTTGGCTTTGCTATGGGTTTAGGTTTACTACAAGCTTGGTCCACAAAATCCCTTGCTCTGACTTCTGGCCTGGTCTGACTTCTAGCTTACCAGCTTACCTGGTAAACCTGGCTTACTATGTAAGCTGGTAAATGGCCTGGCCTTTATGCCTCTGGACTAGTCTATGAGCCAAAAGCCACGAACTAATGACTAAATATTACCTGCTTTTGATGTTTTTTTTCTCAGTCAATCTTTTTCAGAACTGCCCCTTCTAAAAGGTACCTACTGTTAGAAATAAATGCTCAAACAGGCAAGGTTTGATTGTGGTTCACTAAAAAAATGCTTTTAAGGTGTCTATAAGAAACTGTAGTATATTGCTCAAAGTTTTTGTTAGAAAGATAGCCCGTCTAGCTTCAAAATTTAAAAGAGATCAATGATTGTTTAGCCTCTGTTTCCATAGTCAACGCTGTCCCGTCCCGTTATGCGACTCATCTTGCCCGGTAGATTCAATTGTGAAAAACTCGGACTCGTTACTGCAATTACTGATTGATTATGAGAAGGTGGGATCCGGGTTTGCCTGAAGCATGTTGGCGATTAATGAGAAACACCATTTTAACTTACTTTTCGAAGCTTTAAAAAGGTGAAAAAGTCCATTGTGATCTTGAAATATGTGGGAGTTGAGCGTCACATACATATTCACAATTGCACTATTTGTAAACGATGATACGCAGAAAGAGAAATCGCTCCGAATAGCAAATGAGAAACTGGAGGACGGTGTGTTTTGTTGTATACTTGAAGAGCATTCCATCGAAAGAAACGGCCAAGAAACGGCTAATCACATTTCGAGAGTGATGCACTTTTTTCAAACCTGATCGAGACAAAGAACTGACAAAATGCGTTACGACGACCAAACCCGCGAAATAGTTGAAAAGCAAACCGGCGATGCCATCGCTTGCACATCTACAATTGAAATTTCTTTAAGGGGCGACCGATTCTCGTTAGAAGTAAATAATTCACTTGGCATTATTATATGCCTCAATACGCAAAATAACCAGTTGTTTTATGCTTTTTCATCTAAAGCTAACAAATCCAAGTAGTAAGGCAAGATTGATATTAAGGTCTTGAAAATGAGGGACTCCCGAAAAGTCAGTCCTGGGAATGCAACAACAAGAGGGGTTTTCTCGTTTAAAAATTAACCATATTTCAGATTATTCTTGAAACAGCCAGTCCAACAAACAAACTGAAATTGTGGCTAGAACATTCAACGAGGAAATTTTTCTAGACTCAAACCGATGACTACGTTTTTTACCGGACACACAGTACTGGTGGCTGAAAATTACGGGCGCGCAGCATCTGGCATAGTTTTAAACAATCTAGTAAAGCATCAATGCTCATTTTTTTGTGTTTTAATATTTTTTGTCGTTGCTATTAATCCAGACCGTCCAGAAGATCGTAAAGCAATGAAAAGAGGGGATATGTTCAGTCCAAGCCCGAAAGAGGGCGAAAGAGGACCGTTAACACCCAAAAATGCGTGGGATCGTCAAGGGGAGGATCGAGCGAAAAGACGATCGTAGCTTGAACAAGATGGCAAAAATAGCTTCAAATTTCGCGTTTCTCGGTTCAATCAATAGTGAAAAATGAGCTTGGACTTCGAAGTCATCGACTGTTAAACAGACAAGTGCTCACCGATCAAGCCAAGCAAAACCGAAAGGAGAAATGCAAGAAATTGGGAGCTTTTTCCAAGCTGCGGCGCATTGACGATGTTCTCTGGTCGGATGAGAAGATTTTCACCCTAGAAGTGGCTAAAAATACACAAAATCACCGTCAACTGTTCAGTCCAGCTCTCAAGGGCACTCGCAAACGAAAAGCCGCTACAAAAGGTCTGTTTCCAAAAAGTTTGATGGTTTGGGGTGGAATCCGTGCTTCGGGCAAGATGCTAATTATCTCCGCCGCGTAAAGAAGCGAATTGAAGCCTGTATCAAAGCGAGTGGAGGCCACTTCGAAAATTTCTTGTGATTAATAGACTATTAAATTTACTGTTGTTTTTGCAAGGTGCCAATACTTAAAACGCGTCTAAGTGGAGGGTTCTACATTTTTTAGATGTAGCGTAGTTTCAGCCATATTTTTAAAAAAACCAGTTCGATTCGATGCCGGGAAGTAGTAAAAAATTAAAAGCAAATTTTAGCTCACTTTTTGAGAGCATTTAAAAAGCTTCTTACATTGCTGAAATAAGCCAGGATAAATGCAAGTTTTATTCTAAACTGCAAGAAAAATTGGATTGCTATTTATTCCAAAACTGCTTTCAAAAAAAGATTACCAACTAGAAGCTGCGAAAGACTTATCTAAAGATGAGATTTTTTGACAGAATCAAATCAAATCGATTGTTAGAGCTGCTGTAAAGTAAATAGAGAAAAATAGATCTTCCATTATTTCCGTTGAACTCGATTGAATCGTGAACAAGTTGAAACTCGCTTTTTTAAACGGTCAACAGAAGACAGGGAGGATTTTATCTTAGATTGGCAATATGAATGGGTAGATCGTAGGTAATTTTTTTGAGGCTTGGATTTCCCGGCATCGAATCGAACTGGTTTTTTTCAAAATATGGCTGAAACTACGCTACATCTAAAAAATGTAGAACCCTCCACTTAGACGCGTTTTAAGTATTGGCACCTTGCAAAAACAACAGTAAATTTAATAGTCTATTGGCCCTCCTTTGGCTTGAATGACTTTTTCTATCCATCTGGGCATCGAGTCGGCCAAATTGCGCAAAACTGAGATCCAATTTGCTTTCATTCAAGACATAGATAGTACCAAAGCTTTGCATGAAAAGTGAAAAGAAAAGTCAACCTGACTCCAACTGATTTTGATTCTAACTAATTCTAAATGATTCCACTTTGAATAAACCATGAAAATTTAGAAACACGACTTTCTTTTTTGCTTTTGCTTTTGTTCCTAATCAGGACCTAATCAGTATTGCAACAAGATAAATCACAATATTTAAAAATATAATATTCCAAAGCCTTTTTTCCAGATCAATCTCGCAAACCCGGCACGTTCGATGCTGAAGTGGCGAGAACGTTACGGCCCAGTCTTCACCGTTTGGTTACCAAAGCCGATCGTCGTCTTGGCCACCCATAAAACCTTACAAGAGGCACTCGTGAGAAATGGAGGAAATTCTATTTCCAATTGGCAAAACAACGACTGGCAATACTAGTGTCCTTTAGGGTTTGTAAACTAATTCGACAAACCAGCTCAGCTTCGAAACACAGCCTCTTCCATTTCCTAAACCTTGCCTCACTTTTCCCTTTCTACCGTAGTCTTGTCTCTATTTTTTATAGTCAGGATTACTTTGATTACGGTAGAAGAAAGCTGCAACCAAATCTCTACAATTGATCACTTTGAAATGCTTTCAAGATTAGCAGCATAACCCGGAGTTGTTTCTGAACAATCGGCCGAAGAACCATTTTTGTACCGGTAAAAGAAGAAAAAATTAATCATTTTTAGAGCTTTCTAAGATTAATTGTAGAATTGTAGAATTTAAAAAACACGTAAATTTGCCAATTTATCCTTTTGGACAGTTAACTATAGTTTACGAGTCACTAAAATTGTCTCTTCTTTTCAAAAGTCGACAAATTTGAAACACAGGAGCGCTGGTCGGTGAATTGCGGGTTTATTTTAGTAACTCGTTTTCGCTTTAGTAAATCGCGAATTGGTTTTCACTATAGTTAACTGTCCAAAAATGACCTATTTTTTAAATTCTATGTTTCAAAATTATTAATAATTTGAACAAATTTGAAACAAAATGACTGGAAACGAGCTTTGAACAAGAAAAATTGGATTGCTATTTATTCCAAAACTGCTTTCAAAAAAGCTGGTACTTGTAATCAGTAGATCGATGTAATTCAGATTCAGATTCAAAAAAATTACGATTTATCAAAATTCAGTTTCAAATTTCTCATTTAGTGGCTTCAGAAGAAAACATCTAATCGAAGAAGCTTAAATCGTTCAAGTTCTAGGCGAAACATTGAATTTTAAGAATTTGAAGGTTAAATCTTTGAGAAAAGTTTTGAAGTTTCAATTTTTCTTGTTTTCCCTCGAAAAACGAGTTTTTCTCTTGAAATTGTGAAAATTTCCCAATAAAATCTCAAATATTTCATAGTAAACATTTAAAAAATGATTCCATCTTTTTTGCTTGCTGTCTTTGCTATTTAATTGGACGAGCAAATTTCCCCTTGACTTCAGTAAATTTGAAACAAAACTTTTTTGGCGATCAAATACTTTTTGATAGAATTGGGTAAAATTGGGTAAAATCGGCATTCTTATGCAATCTCTTCTTTTCAAAAGTCGACAAATTTGAAACACAGGAGCGCTGGTCGGTGAATGTCGGGTTTTAGTTTTTTATTTTAGTAACTCGTTTTCGCTTTAGTAAATCGCGAATTGGTGTTCACTATAGTTAACTGTCCAAAAATGACCTATTTTTTGTGGATCTAGAGTTTTATCAATTTCAATTCGAGATTTGTGTTTCGTTTAAGCCAGCTCAAAAGAATGATATTTTGTTCAAATTCAAAACTCACTTTTTAGAGTGGCTGGGGTGCTTGAGATAGTTGTTGTCGGCGTAGTTGTTGCAGGTGTCTTTCGTTCTGAAACCAAAAGCAACAATTCAGAATCATTTTGAAAATCAAATTTTACTGAATTTTTGCATCTTTTCATGGCCCTATTTGCACACTAAAAACTTTGATGAATTAGAGATTTAGATCCATTTTTGCAACCTGTGAAAAACAAACTGGTTTTCCCGGAGAAATTGCCCAAAATTTTGAGTGTTTTGTAAAAAAGAAACCCGAGTGAAACCCGAAAACAAATCAAGGTCAAATTTGGGGAGATTTCGAGAAAATCATTGGCACACATTCAATCATTTTGAGAAGTCAATAGTTTATTGAGTTTGAAATGGAGAGATCACCCAGATAATGAAAGTGGACCGGTGACTGGTGAACAGACGAACAATCGAGGAGAGGTCACGGCCGTAATTAGAGCTAAATTGTAAGTATTTGGTATATTTTTAGGTTTTGAACTGTTGTTTTTGCAAGGTGCCAATACTTAAAACGCGTCTAAGTGGAGGGTTTTACATTTTTTAGATGTAGCGTAGTTTCAGCCATATTTTTAAAAAAACCAGTTCGATTCGATGCCGGGAAGTAGTTGAAATCGATCTTCAAAGTTGTGACCCAAAAACTGTAGCTTCAATCTATACAAAATTGAAGGATTTGACAACATTTTGCGCTGGACTTTGACGATCGCTCTCTACCTCTTTAAATGAAGCGTAGAGTCTCAGCTACATTTAAAATAAATATCCAATTAACTCCAGAATTTTTGGTGTGAGGTACAATAGCGTGACTTGCCTTTTCTGTATTCAATCTTTGATGACACTTTATCTTTAGCTAAAGATAAAGTGTCATCAAAGATTGAAGATATATTAGCTTTAGTTTTAGCTAAATATCTTAATTTCCTTTATAGGATATAAATTCTTTTCCTGCTTTTTTATCATTTTTCGTTCGTTAGCCATCATGAAGGATTTGTAAGGATTTTATTCGCCTTTCTACCGATTTTATGCACAAATTGTCACAATCTGACTATTTTCAGCATGATGGGACTATTCGGAAAGAAAAAGGACCCGAAGGAGCAAGTACGAGAGCTGCAGGTAGGGTTTTTCAATAAATTTGACTTTCTCACCGGTCCTGGGCATGATTTTTTTGGTTTTCTTGGGAAAAACTAATGGCTGGTACTGCAACTATAATCGTTAAGCATGTATGCCACAACTTTGCTGATTCCATTTTATATAACGTTTGTTTTAGAGAAAGATGCGACAAGAGATGAGGACGCTCGACCGTCAAGTTTACAGCATTCAACGTGAGGAACAAAAGGTAAGACAAGTTGTCGGCTACCTAAATAGTGTTTAAAAGAAACAGAAAACTTTTCTAGGTCAAAAACGAGATCAAGGCCGCCGCCAAAAAAGGAGACAAGGACGTTTGTGTGATTTTGGCTAAGTCGCTTCTTCAATCTCGAAAGGTAGCGTTCGTTTTCAAAGCTTTGCTAACTTTAAATTCAGACCGTGCAGTGGAGGTTATGAACTTTTAATATGTAAACTGCTCAGCCAAGTAATTTTGCGACAGGAGGGATTGATATTTAGCTCTCTGAAAATGGAATAGAACACTGTTCACTGTCCACTGATCGGGAGATCATTGAACCGTTTGACTTTCGCAAGATCCAGGTGATTTAATCAGACTCATATACAGTAGGATGAAGACTGAAGTCAGTGCATGATTGTAATTTACCTACTATTGGGGTTTGACTGTAATAAACCCCCAAAATACTTCACCCCAAAAGTTCTAAACTATTTCTAATCCAGAAAAGAATTTTTCGTTCCAAATTTTTAAAAGAGGCATGCAGCTATTTCAACTTGCTTACGAGCTTTTGCCTATGTTTTGTTTGTACTTTCCTCGCCCTCTCGGGTGGAGTTGAGTGCAATCGGCTCGCGGTGAACGTGACGGAATGGCAACATTACCTTTCTTTTTGCCCCTCTTCCCCTTTCACCCATCACCCCACCGATTTCACATGCCCTTTTTTTGAGACGAACCCTCCACCCCTTTTTCAAAGATCCCTTTCAATGAGAAAAATGCTTGTCAAACCTGCCATTCACTTTTCCTGTCCCCCACCCCTATACAAATCGGTTTCGATTTCATAACTTCAGAAATTCCCTCAATTTGCGAATATTCTCTGTGTGTCTATTTTCGGATCTCTCGCCGTCAAATCGATCCGCCGTGGAGGGGTGGGGTGAGACGGAGGCAGGCACGGGTTGAGCCCTGGAGAAGATGAAAAAGGGGAAAACTGATAGTTAATGACAACCCCTTCTTTCCTTTAATGAATTCAGCCGCTTTCTAGAAGGGGCAGGGATCATCCATCCTTTTTGCTCTCTTTCTACTCTCTAGGATTTCTCTAGCTTCTTTTGCCCTCCATTTTTACTGCACTTTTCTCCAACTGATTACACCTGGCCTCTCCTTTGAGATGTCTCCTCCTCACCTCCGATTTTCGACGCTTTATTGCTCTCGTATGGTCTCGATCTTATCTTTTTGCTCTTCGCTTCTCAGCGATTGCATCCAACTTCTTTCTCGACAACTTTTCTCCTTTCCCTTTCTTTCCCCAATTTTTCCTAAATTAAAAAATTGTTGAATTATCTTTTTTCAGAAAATATCTATAAAAGCCTTTCTCTTACTTTTTTAAGATCTAAGATTCCCTTAAACTTTCATTTTCAGCGCTTTGAAAAGGTTTTCTTCGTCCGTTTTTCAAGCTTTTCAGGATCAACTAAGCTTACTCGTAGAGTTGATTTGGGGATCCCATCCCATGATTGAGGATCCCAAACTCAATCAACAATCAATCCCAATCAACTCGACGATCATCAATCCAAAGCCAAATAGCAAATAGTAATAGCTTATACCGAAATTTCACATAAAAGCACTGCTGCTGAAGCTTTTGCTACATTGAATTCGGGTCTTTTTTCATCTTTCTATAGTAAACAAACGTTTGTACACCTTCGAACTCTTTAATCACAACGAAACAAGTTCTATTTTGTTTGATTTGTTCAATTAGGCTGTTCAAAAGCTTCAATTAAATCTAAAATGAAGTCCACCTCTCGTAACCTTCCCGCTACAAATTCATCAAAAAATTAATGCTCTCCATTTTTACTGCACTTTTCTCCAACTGATTACACCTGGCCTCTCCTTTGAGATCTCTCCTCCTCACCTCCGATTTTCGACGCTTTATCTCGTATGGTCTCGATCTTATCTTTTTGCTCTTCGCTTTCCAGCGATTGCATCCAACTTCTTTCTCGACAACTTTTCTCCTTTCCCTTTCTTTCCCCAATTTTTCCTAAATTAAAAAATTGTTGAATTATCTTTTTTCAGAAAATATCTATAAAAGCCTTTCTCTTACTTTTTTAAGATCTAAGATTCCCTTAAACTTTCATTTTCAGCGCTTTGAAAAGGTTTTCTTCGTCCATTTTTCAAGCTTTTCAAGGATCAACTAAGCTTACTCGTAGAGGTATTTGGGGATCCCATCCCATGATTGAGGATCCCAAACTCAATCAACAATCAATCCCAATCAACTCGACGATCATCAATCCAAAGCCAAATAGCAAATAGTAATAGCTTATACCGAAATTTCACATAAAAGCACTGCTGCTGAAGCTTTTGCTACATTGAATTCGGGTCTTTTTTCATCTTTCTATAGTAAACAAACGTTTGTACACCTTCGAACTCTTTAATCACAACGAAACAAGTTCTATTTTGTTTGATTTGTTCAATTAGGCTGTTCAAAAGCTTCAATTAAATCTAAAATGAAGTCCACCTCTCGTAACCTTCCCGCTACAAATTCATCAAAAAATTAATGCTCTCCATTTTTACTGCACTTTTCTCCAACTGATTACACCTGGCCTCTCCTTTGAGATCTTTCCTCCTCACCTCCGATTTTCGACGCTTTATTTTTTCCAATTTTCTTCCAATTTTCTTCCAATTATTCCAATTTTCTTCCATTCACATTTAGTTGAATCACTCCTCCTCACCTCCGATGCATCGACACGCAGCTCTGCAGGCACAAGCTGAGGCACAAGCACAGGCTCAAGATCAAGCTCAAACTCAGGTAGAAGACTTAGCGTTGCTTGTTTAGCGATTAGGTAATAGATTGGTTGGGGAACTAAAGAGTCCTCTTATCCCCTCTCAAACCCTTAAAATCATTAGATTATTGGTTTATTAGTATTTCTAGTAGGCTTATAGGGCTGTAGAATCTAGTCTTTTTCTTTGCTTTATTAAGCTTACTTTACTTTCTAAGCTTACTGTATTTTCTAAGCTTACTGTTGGTTTAAAATTCATTTTTAGAGATTCCTTTCTCTAAATCAGGGTTATTAATTAAAGAATCAAAAATTGAAATAAAAGAAAGTTGAAAAAGAAGCCCTCATTCCCTTCCGCATTCCCTTCCAATCCTCTCCTTTCCCAGGCTCAAGCTCAAGCCGTGGCCGCTCAACAAGCAGCACTTGCAGCTGCCGCCGCTCCACATGCACAGGTGCAAACTTTCGAGATTAATATTCCAAAAACTTAACAGCTTTTTCATAGCTTACTTTAACGTCAGAATATTGATTTTTTTAAAAATTTGACTCTGTTCAGTCATTTTTTTCACTTTCCCAAATCAAAGATCACCCGGACTGGCGGAAATTCTGCTTTTTTCCTTTCTTGCCCCCAAATCAAATCAAATCGAAACTACGTCACTAGTTACGTTTAAACGCCTCATGTTAAAATGCCCGTTTTCCAATTTTCATTGCCAATTCTTTCCGACAAAAATCCCAAAAAATTTAAATGCAAATTTTGTTTTTTGGAAATTCGAAAAATTAAATGCAAATTTACAATTTCCGACAGATTTTGATATTAAATGCAAATTTTCCAAATGAAAGTTGGGAAATTCGTTGTACTTTTCCCCATTTCACCGATTTCTCTTTTTTGAGCCGATGAGGTCCGCGCGATCTTTGCGCATTATCTTCATTTATTCGTCTCTTCATTTATCTACATTTATTCGTCGATTTTTTCAGCCTCAAATGTCTCAAATCTCTTTTGCGCAACACTTGGTCGCCGCACAACAACAGCCACATCATGGGACAGTTGTTTCAGTGGCGAGTATTTTCGGGTTACTTTCGCTATTCTTTGGTGCTTTGGCTATTCTTTGGTAAACCCCTTTCTTTTCCGAGTTTTTTGATGATTTGATGACAGTGGCGATGTGCTCAGGAAATTTAAGCAACTAAGCCAACTCAAGAGCTAGTTTAAGTTTCTGTAAACTTTTGTATATGATTCGATTTTGATGATAGGAAAGAGACCATTCAAATCAGAGCTATTTTCATTCTTTCATTGTTTTGCTGAAATGAAAACCCTTTATAATACTGTTATAAGAATTCAGTGCTTCAATAAATCACGATTTTACTTCGAATTCCAGGCAACGGGTCTCCCAATGTTCCTGGTGCCGGCGCAGAGTCTTGCCACCTCAGCAGCAGCTCATTCAGCCTCGCAAATCCCATCCCAGACACCGAATCAATCACAAACACCATCCGGACATCATTCACATATAATTCGTAGACAGGTTGGCATTTGATTCACCGTCTTCTCTCTTCTCTACGTCGGCTGGCTTTACCAAGCATCTAGGCAAAGCTAGAATCTAGATCTTTACCTTATTTCTCAACAAAATCAAGTCCTGAGCCTCTGATCGAAATTTGGCTGCCTAGAAATCTGTTTGAAATCTGCAAAACTAGACAAGCACTTCTAGAAGATAAACTATAAAATAGCCACCTTGGTAAGTTGAAGTCCTCCAAAAAGCGATCAATTAAATCTAGAAGGTTCTCGAGATTTTGAGGAATGTAGACGAGGTTTTGGCTGCACTGATAGAGAGAATACAGTAAAATGTAGGTACAGTAGAATACAGTAGGTATACAATCACTTCAATACAGGCCAATCCATTGTTTCAGGCGTTCAGTAATTATAGTGATCAAGCCAAACACCAAAATCAAACCCATTCAGATGAGGTGAGCTAATAAAGGAAGAATTTAACAAAGTACCACAATTTAGAAGGGTTTCAAGTGTCAATATGAAGGATGTCCGAAGGCTTACACCGATCGAGGAAGCCTCCGCAAGCACTTTAGAGGGAGTCACGGTGATAAGATGAATGAAAAGAAAAAGAAAATGAACAAGTTAATGGAAGCTGGTAAACGATGGCCGAAAAAGGTTTAGAAAAAATACAAAATTAATTTTAACATTTTAATATTATGATTAAGAGCAAGAAGGGTTGTGGCTCAAAATATCGTGAAAGCAACATCAGGCCTGGCTCTGGAGGGCGAGAAGGTGAGACGAGTGCGAAAAATGGAAACGAGAAGCCGATCAGTGGGCTTCGGCTCAACGTTGAAGGATATCTCACTGCTGATGCAGAATTGGGAGAAAGTTTGTTACGAAATTATTTCGCAAATCAAAACACTTGATTTCAGTCGCAGAATCGGAAGCAATTGAGCTGGGACTTCCAGAAGGGAGACGTGAAGGCAATCAAATCTACAGAAGTGCCAACTTCGGGCCGGTTCGTCAAAAAGAACGTTCATTAACAAAGCAGATTTAGCTTTATGAACAAACTGGACGCATGCGGGTTGCTGGCTATGAAGAAAAGCAAGACATAGCTGAGGTTGTTAGTGTCAAATCAATCAGTGAGCAAGTTCGAGCCAAACACCAAAACGCCCATTCAGATGAGGTGAGCTAATAAAAAAAGATTTTAACAAAGTACCACAATTTAGAAGCGTTACCTGCGCGGTTATCAAGGATGTCCGAAGGCTTACACCGATGGACAACGATGGACAAATGGCCCTGACTCGGCAGGACCTTCATCGGAATTGGAATAAATTGGAATAAATTTGACTGGAATAAATCTTGGAATACAATGTCCTCAACCAAAGAATCCACTATAAAAACAATCAAGTAGCTTGTCCAACAACACTCTTGGTGGCTATGCTGAACAAATTCCAATTGGTGAAATGCAACTACAGAGAATGCCTCTCCAGCCTGGGCCCAGCAGAGGGCCCGAAAATGGGGTGAGTGAGTTCATATTTAAAGAGTATGAGTTAATAAGGAGCTTGCCTTAAAAAATACGCTTCTCGGGAAAGGGTTTTCATTTCAGCAAAACAATGAAAGAATGAAAATAGCTTACTTTAATTCTTCAGCTTGATTGAATATCTTTAGAAATTGAAGAGTTTAAAAGATATAAAAATAAAAATAAAAAGTCATATTTGACTGTTTTTCTCAATTCTAACTTTATTTTTCCTCATTAAAACAATTCTAGAATGTTAAAGTAGTTTAAAACTTTCAAAGTTTTAAAGTTTTTGTTTTTGTTTTTGTCATTTTTTCCGATTGCTTTTGTTTTGTTTCAAATCAAAAAAAGCTTTTGAGTAAACAGATTTTCAAAATATTTAGTGTGAGTTTTCAAAGTAATTTAACTTCGAAGCTAAAACCTTGAGTTTAATGTACTGGTGCTGGGCCGTCTTTACTTAATTGAAATCGCTTCTTTCTAGCCTCAACTGCTTCTTTCATTACCCTATTAAAACAATTCTTCTGCATTAGAATTGTAAGTTTCAAAGTAATCAACTACTAGCTCAATTTTGCGTTTAAGAGTTCGTTTTTCGCTTTTCCATTTCCCCATGAAAACATTGCGTGTTTGAACGAAGCGTTTACAAATTCGAGCACTTTGTTCAACTTACATGAATTTCTCGTAGCTCTTTCAGGTCGATCCCTTTCTTGCTAAATGAGAGTTTCTCTATAATATATTACCCTGATAGACTCAAAAAGTAAATACTCTAATAGAAGCCCTACAGAAGCGTCGCGGTCCAAGTTTACACTCAAACAATCTCAACACAACACCACACTCAGTATTATCATCTTTTAATAATTTTTTCTAAGCGCTCGTTGATGTTAAAAAGATGTGTTATATCTCAAAAAATCACTTATTTTCTCTCTTCAAATGATACCTAGGCGCATCAGAAAAAGTTAGGTGTAACAATTATTCTATGAGAATCTAGAGGCTCTAGATAGCTCTGGAAGCTCTAGATAAGATCTAAAGAAGCTCTAGAAAATAGAAGCTAGAAAATAGAAAATAGAAATTTCCCATTTTCCGAATCATATGACCCTTCAGAAGCCGCCTATCTAAACGTTTCTGCTGCGATTTCCCACCGAACACTGGTCGGTTTCGAATTGTTTCACATCCAAGAAAAAGTTTTTGAGTAAAGAAGCTGAGAAATTCCTTTGAACGAATACTACAAGATTCTAGATGATTTTTGTAGCGAAATGGAAATTTAAAGCAAAGTTTCAAAGTAAACGACTCTAGCCTTGGCTTTTATAGAATAATCACGCAAAGATGAGGATGCACTTTGTACTCCTCTTAAATCCTGTGAACCCCTTCTGGCAGCACAATTCCCGGTCGCAACTGTTTGGTGCTACGAGGGAAATGGAAGAGTGGAGGTATTACAGAGGGGGGGTGTGTACGAGGATTCAAAGTGGGCTTCAAAGAACACGTCAATGGCCAGCTGTAGGCTGCGGCGTCGATGGCATTGAAGTCCAGAATAGACACAATTTGCTAACTTTGCGAACTAAGCTTTCCGAATAAGGATTTTGTTCTTTATTTTCCATAGAGCAAACCATGATTAAGTTGTAATGCTTTTGATTAACTTGACCAAAAGTTGAGCCCAATTATTTATCAATGAACTCAATAGTAAAATTTACACTCTTCCCCAATAATCAATGTGCAAGCTCTTCCCCATCACCCAGATCAAGGAGCTCTGTGAATGGGGACATGCAGCTACAACCGTAAAAGGGATGTTTCCATAGGTTATTTGAGAACTTTATGTTAGCAAATGTCGCGTATAATGTTCTTTAGACAAAAGGACGTCTCTTCCCTTTTATATATAAAATAAATTCATTTTTGAAAAGAAAAAGCAAAACTAATTTTCTCATGAGGAACGAACCCACGACTCTCCTCTTTCCCACTCTCGTTTTTCGTTCGCGATCGGAAAAAAACGGCATCTCGAAGGTCGTCCTGGACGTCAAGGGGAAAGTGTTTGTGACAGACAGACCCAGACGAAACAGACGTTTTTCTGCTTTAGGACGAAGATTTATGACCTGTTCATCCCGTGCCACCATTCGATTGCGTCGGCGCGTCGGGATCTCGGTGGAAGGTAGGAAAGCATGTAGCGACAGCGGAGAGACTCTGAAAGTCTTCTTCTTTTGATTTCTTCCTTAAAATCACGGTTTAATCAAAGGAAAAGCTTTTGTTAGAGTTCTAACATCAATTGCGATAATCGAATTATGATAATTGCAATCTCCTGGCACCATTTCGATAATATTAGCTGATCTGTGAGTCAATTTTCACCCGCAAAAATCGTGTTACAATGTTCTAAAGCCATTGTTAGTCCGTGAAAAACCGAAATACACTCGAATGTAAAGAAACAAAAACAAAAAAACACCAGAGCCCAAAAACCCATCAGAAATTTGACCGCCAGCCTATCAATCGCCTCATCGCTAAAAGTGGCTCGCATTTTTCCTTCTCGATTTCCCGCTCCAACTGCCTTGCCTCAATCTCTTCCGGACTCAGCGATCCATCGTGAATCTTCCACCTCATCGCTACCCAGTTTCTCCATCCATGTTTGGTTGTGTGTTGGGAAGGATGAATTTGGCCCCTCGCACAAAACAAGCCCTCTTTAAATCGCACTGAGAATCGAAAAGAAGACGGGGGAAATGAGATGTGGAGGAAGAGGAATGCGGAAGAGGGGAAAGGGAGAGAAATACTAGAAACTACGGAAGGGAGAAGAGACCTTTTTTGGAGGGGGAGGTTGGGAAAGCTGAGAGGGAGAGAACTTTGTTTGACTCATACAGAGGTGCGCTCTTGTGCTCTTCAAATACCTTTAAACACATTCTTTTGGTGCACTTTAATTTCTCGCATTTCCCGTTAAGTTATTAAGAAAAGAGTAAATCGAGGGGAGCTTAGCTTATAAAGTAGGAATTCTAGTGAGAGAAGTTGAATCACACATTGGCTTCGACTGCTATATCCTAGATACTGTGCTAACTGCTATATCCTAGATGCAGTCTATACTTTCTTTGGTACTATGTACCGTACCCGTTTGTTCGATAAGACAGCGGCTGGCTAACAATGAAACATTCTCCTAGAAAAATCTAGCTAAAGATTTGGTATTATGAGTTATAGAGTGGCTTCTCTTGTCTCTTTACTGCTCTATAACTTGCTTATCCACTTTTAAAGCAATTTTAAGTAATTTTAAGGCAATCTAAACATAAACATTCTTTTCTTTCTTCCTTCGGTCTTAGAAATTCCAGTCACCTACAATAAGTTTGTGTATAACTCTTTTCCAGTAAGAACTGCCAGAATTTGGAATCGACTCCCCAGAGTTTTCAGAGAGTCCAATAGTCTTAAAGCCTTTAAATCTGTAGACGATCTTGATGAAAGCTCTAGTGGATCCTTGGACATTATCCTGTGCTACCCATAACATTATATCGTGTAGTTTTTATCGGCCCTTTTCGGTTTATTTGTATGAATTGATGTGTTTAGTCTTAAATCTAGCGCACTTTATCTCAGGTAAAGTATATATCTATCGATATATATGTTACGTCAGGATCTGAGGAGACGCCCATCTCCGATCCGGACGTCGGATCTGAGCCGATTCATTCTCTTCTGAAACGGACGCCCGACTCAGAGATGGACCTCCTCTTCGGAGGAGAATGAACTTAGTAGAATTTAGTAGACTTGAAAAGAACAATCAGATCAATTTTACCTTTGAATTTGAAAGAAAAAGGAAAATTCTGGAATCTGAATACATGTGTTTTCGTTCAAAACATTGGATTTTACATTTAAACTATTTGTTCTCAAGGTCGGACATCCAATTCCGAGAAGAATGATCCTTCTCCTCCGAAACGTTTCAGAGGAGTCTCTGAGTCGGACCTCCGTTTCAGAGGAGAATTTCAGAGGAAAATTAAAAAACACCAATTTTTTCTTCATAGTAAAGTGTTTTCTAACCACTTAGCTTCTGCGGTAAACCTAATTTTGTTCTGATTAACTCGAGGCTTGTGGTTCCCTCAGCGAGTGTCACCAAAATTAGGCTAATTGAGGAGTAAAACTGGCGGAAGATTACGGTAGTTTTGGCCGAAATTGATTGTTTGTCTGTAAGGCTTTTTTTAGCCTTACAGACTCAAATTGATGTCTGTAGAAATAAGGCTTTGTCTTATAAAACCATCTTATAAAGCTGTGCTAGGGGTTTTAAGTACTTTTAACGAGGTCAGATCAATTTACGTCCGCATTCATTCGAATCAGTTTGCTGTCCGAGAATTTCTAATTTGCTAAGCAAAGGCTACATTTTACATTTGCATTTCTAAGATACAATTCTAAAATTTTGAAAACCGATTCTAGGATCACCACGAGGAGGATCTTTTCCTCTACATCGACTACTCCCATGAGAGTGTTTATGGGGCAGATGAGTGAATGAACGATTGAATGAATGAAGGAAAGCACGACAATATCGACTTAATTTATTCGATTTCGAACTCTTTAAAGAACTCTTCAACGTGTTTTTAAGCGTGTTTTGTTCAAAACATTGGTTTTGCATTTAAATTATTTGTTCTCAAGATCGGACATCCGATTCCGTAAGAATGATCCTTCTCCTCGAAACGTTTCAGAGGTAACTCTAGGTCGGACCTCCGTTTCAGGGAGAAGATCAGCTCAGATTCGGACGTCCGGAACGTCCGAAGGAGATTTGGAATCGAACCGAAATCGACAAACTAATTTGGGGGCCTTCTCGAAATTTCCTGGAATTTAAGGACCAATCATTACTTTGGCTCAATCACATTTCACATCCAAAACTTTGAAACATCAAATTTTTTTCAAAAAAGTCTGCCACAATAGCCTCAACTGCTCCATAAAGCCTTGATATTAGGTATTTGGGACTTTAGGTACAACATTGTACATTGTTTTTGGATTTTCGGGGCACTAGACAATATATTTTTGACAATACTGTACTGTACTTTACTTCTACTAGATTGGCTCAGCCTTCTTAGAATACCCTAGGGCTACTAGGTATATAAAGAACTACAACACTTTAGAGATTACAGTGCTAACTGCTATATCCTAGATACGGTCTATACTTTCTTTGGTACAATGTGCCGTACCCTTTTCACTCACTGGAATCCTGTCCGGGTACTCTCTGCGGATTTTGTTGCCCTCAGCGCGTCGTTTCTCGAAGTTGTTCTCTTCTTTGTATTGCCACTTCATGTTTGTCGGTTGATCTTTCTTTGCTACAATGTGCCTATCAATGATCATTGAATATCTGATATTAGATTTATATTTAATAAATTCGACTTGCTCCTTGTTCAGCGCCTTTCTATGCCTTTCTTCCTAAATGTTTTCACATTTAGGAAGAAATTTAAAGTTGTATACACTTATAAAAACACTACAAAGTTCTAGTACGGGTATTTAAAGATATTCAGCTGAACACCTTTTATTGCGTGTTTAGCCTGTTGTTTGTTTTCTTGTTTTCCCTCGAAAAACGAGTTTTTCTCTTGAAATTGTGAAAATTTCCCAATAACATCTCAAATATTTCATAGTAAACATTTAAAAATGATTCCATCTTTTTGCTTGCTGTCTTTGCCTATTTAATTGGACGAGTAAATTTCCCACTGGACTTCCAGTAAATTTGAAACAAAACTTTTTGGCGATCAAATACTTTTGATAGAATTGGTCAAAATTGGGTAAAATCGGCATTCTTATGCAATCAAAAGTGAAATTTAACAAATCCTTTTCAGACACTTTCAGAATCTGAGGGAAGATGGGGATCCTCGAGATTTCATGGAGGCCTATTTGCGGGAAATGCGGCGACAACCCGAGAATCCGCATTTCAAGTGAGATTTCGCTGAAAATCGGCTTTTTGAGGTTATATTGTTAAACCTTTTCAAATTCAAACCTTCAAAATGAGTGCAGTGATTAAATTTTGTGGCTTGATCGTCTTTTTGAATTAAGTAAAATAACTTTATCCATCCATCACTTTATTGTGCTTTATTGTGCAATAAATTTCATCGAAAGTGGACTGAGTCAAATAGACGCTTCAAATAAGGAAACGGGTGAATTTGTTGAATTGGGGCAAGTAGAAAACGAGAGAATTCGGGAGTTTCGTCACCGGCTCGTAGATCGGATAGTTCTGTGAAAGATTGATTGAAGGCTTCAAATTCCATCCAAATTCTTTTCTTTCATTCCTTTATTTGCTATGGCTGTAGGCTTTGTAGTAAGTTTAAGTAAATGAGTTGGGTATTTAAAGATATTCAGCTGAACACCTTTTATTGCGTGTTTAGCCTGTTGTTTGTTTTCTTGTTTTCCCTCGAAAAACGAGTTTTTCTCTTGAAATTGTGAAAATTTCCAGCTTGCCAGCTTCCGGGTTCCTTTGTTGATATTGAGCTATTTCCTAGTACCTTTTGAAATCTAACTTTCCTTCATTTAAAACCTGATTGATGGCGGTCATCTGAGCGTCGGTTGGCTTCTTGAATTCGTGTTGCTGAGTGGTGTCCTGTCGCTTGCGACGGTAAAAACACTACAAAGTTCTAGTACGCCAAAAAGTATTCAACAGAGCACCTGAGCGATTTTCTGCTTGGCCTCCTCGGTGATCTCGGGTTCCGTCGGGGCTTGAAGCGGCAACGTTTGGCAAAAGAAGTACAATCACAAATAGAGATTTCATTTTTTCAGTTTGAACAAAATTGTGATCTGATTCTCAGTATTGCCGAGAAGAGTGATTTCATACCCCACTTTATTCCCTCAATTGGATCAGGGTCAAAACCTTGGTTCCTGGGACAATTAACTCCTGATTCACCCCAATTTGCTAGGTGTTTATGTTTCTTAGAATATCCCTAGTAGCTCCTCAACTGGCTGAGCAACGGTCAACTTTATCCCCAGTCAATCATTTGGAGAATTTTTTAAAAGCTTTGAGTCATCATTGAAACGGATTTCAGTAAACAGATTTGGTCTTTGGAGCATATTTTTGGTAACTTTAGTGGAAATGTTCTGACGCAACTTATCTGAAAATTTATTAATTTAGCTTTAAGTCTAGTTGGATGGCACAGGGCCAATGATTTTCATCTGTGCACCTCAAGAGCCTCCTGATCGGCGGCTGAGACCCGGGCAGTGACTTGTTTGATCTGAAGTGGGAAAAATGTTTAGCAATGGTGACTTAAAGCCTGCAAAACTTTACTCCAAGCGTCATTACTACGAGAAAACTCTATTGAATGATTTTGATGTTGAGATGAAAACTTGGAGCTCGTTTAGAGGTTAACTAATAATCTCACATATCTTGTCGATTCAGGGTTAAAACTGTCTTGGCATCTAGTCCTCAAAAATTCTGCCTCTATATTGATTTACTAACATCTTTTTAGTTCTAGACGGATTAGAATGGCTGCAAGACTCACTTCTAATACGAGAATTTCACTTACCAGTATATGCCTTTGATTAGCTGAAGCTTGATTGTTGATTGTGTCACGAATCTGCTGACATGCGGATTGGAGCGGTAGTTGGTAGTGAAGAGGCAAATCTAAAGGGTTACAAATTCGACTTGTTTTGGAACCAAGTCTACTTTGTCAATCTTTGCCAATGTGGCCGCATCGATTCGGCAGTTGTGGCCGTCGTTGTCACCGTGACGTCGGCTCGTTTGACTTTGCGAACAACCTAGGATAGAAATTGGAAAGTTAGGTCAAGGTAAAAGTCTTTTATTTGGAACGGTCTTCTGCCTAATAACAACTTGAAATGGTTGTTAAAGCAGATTCTTTTTTGCGACTTTTCGGATTTTCGGAGGACTTTTCGGATTTTCGGAGGACTTTTCGACTTTTGGAGGACTTTTCGACTTTTCGGATTTTCGGACTTCATCAATTTTTGATATTTTTGGTGGGGTTTAGATACATTGATGACGCTCATTTTAGCCGGATTTTACACTGATTTCTAAAGAACAACAATTCTAAATGTAACCTTAATTGCCTTAAAACTTGCAAGTTCTCCAAGCGGAACGGTCAGCAAAGCGCCGATGCAAAAGCACGAGAGAATAAAAATCGATTGCATCGCTTCAAATAAAATCCAAACACCGACCCGACTAATTCAATAAATCAACATTCAACAAACACCGACCCGACTAATTCAATTCAATAAACGGTTGAGCTGCGGACTGGTTATATTTGCGCGGGATTAAGATCCCGTGTTGCCCATCGCTCGCAGGAGAGCTTGTTGGGCTTTGGTGAAAGGTTTATGCTCGAAAATTGGCCAACGATTTCTGTACATTTTGAATCAATGATCATTGATTCAAAAATCTATGTTTTAACCAAATGCTTAGGGAATGTTTCTGTTCCCTCAAATGTGTCCTTTTTCAGACTACCGTAAAACCTTGTCTCTACTTTACCCAATCTATCTACTTGTCTGTTTCTGCGATGGTTCACGAAGGAAATCAAAAGATATAAAACCAGACAAATTGGATAAAAATAGAGTACAGTAGAAAGAAACACGTTTTCAAATTACTGATCATTGGTTCCAATTTTTTGTTTCAGATGGTGCGAGCCTTTGGAGGAACTGGTGAAAAAAATCTCTAAGAACTTCACGGAATTCTTTGCGCTCATGGATTGGCGCGGCGAGGTGTTACTGGAAAAGCCGGAGAATAAAGTAAGCTTTGAGTAAAATCTTAATTCTAAAATTTTTCTTTTTAGTTGGACATTGACAAGTACGGCATCGCAATTCATGTGGCGTTCCGGGAAACTGAGCGACTTCGGCGTCTAGATGATAAGGTAAATTTTGAGTGAATTAGTAAAAATGGTGTGATTAAAAATTAGATAAATTCGAGTGCAAAAAGTTCTATTTAGACTCAATCCGGTGGTGAGCGCTCAGTAGCGACGATGCTTTATCTACTCTCGTTGCAAGAACTCTGTCCAGTGCCTTTTCGCTGCGTGGATGAGGATTAATCAAGGTGGGTTTGAGTGGTTTAAGGCTCAAAAACTGTTCCAAATTCGTAATTCTTCTTTCAGGAATGGATCCAAGAAACGAGCGCAAAGTCTTCTCGCTGATCGTCGACACACTGGCCAGCGAAAGTCGTAATTTGGCAAAAAACACAATATTTCTTGTGAGTTTTTGGGTTTGTTTAAAGTTAAGTGAGATCAGGATATAATATATTTCTTTCAGATTGACTCCCAAACTCTTGCGTGGGCTGAAATATGGTGAGAAGGTGGCCGTGCATCTCGTCCACCAACAGCCCAACATTGCCCACGTGATATCATGGTTGGTTTGAGTTTGATGTTAGTGTTAAAATGAAATAGGATGATGCGGAAATAAGACTTAACTGCAAACCGTAACTTTTACCAAAACATCATTTTTATCTACATAGCTTACAATAGCTATAAGTGTTTTCCTAGCACTTATTTCACGTCTTCATTTTAGGAATGGGAACATTCCGCCTTCATCCCGATCATGCCCCTACTTCAACGATCAGCAGAATAAGTGATTATTTTTGTTGTTCAATCGTTGCACATTTTGTCTGAAACATTGTTGAAATTTTCCTGATTTGTTTGTTTTTTGATATCATCACATACGAGTTTCGCTAGGGGTTTCTCTCCGGTTTGTTATTTCCTTGAATCGTTTTTGTAAATTTGCATTTGATATCATATAGTTTTTCTAGAATTTTTTATATTTCGTTTGTTGTGGTTTTGATTCGACATTTTGAATTTATTTGTTTCAGATAAATCGGTTTAGTTCAAAATTGGCGTGAAATCCAATGCAAAGCTCAACTTTTATTGAGGGAACCCGTGTGGAAGAAGTTGTACAAATTTAAAAAGAGGAAATTGAGCATAGTGAGGGCTTAGTATCCAGTAGTACATAGTACAAATTTGAAGGTTGGATTTGCTAAAGAATAGTGTTAAATGCATTCTTTGGCTCTAGCAAAGCGCTTTCTAAAAGAGGACCTACAGAAGCGCCAGAACTTCAGGCCAGTTAGAATTAGACCACAAGTCAGATCCGGGCCAGGTAGTTTTAGGACAGGCAGATTAGGCTACGACTAGGGTAGGTCTAACCTGAATACGGTAGTTTTTTAAGTGGGCGGACAAAGCCATCTAAAGAAGGTTTAAGTTTCAGTTTAGGAATGGTAAAAGACTACGACGGTATTTTTACCGTCGTAGTCTTTTACCATTCCTAAACTGACTTTTGGACTTTTGGAGTGACAGTGCGGACTTTTGGAGTGACAATCGTTGATGTTGCTGTCAGAACTGAGCTCTGCTGATAGACATCGACTGACAGGGGGAATGAGAGGGGGTGTTGGTGAGAGCGGAGCACTTGACCGAGCAGCCACGACGGAGCGGTGGATCCTGGAAATTTTAGAAAATTTCCTTTCCTTTTGAGACTTTACAATCTTTCCGCTAAAAATTCCCAGATCGAAAGCTGTTCCAGAACTTTGCGGAAGAAGTGAGTGCGCCAGAAAGGGGATGTTTGCAAGCTTTGAGAGCACTGGCGATTGGCTACTGATTCAATGAAAAATTGAGAAAAATCTTTAAGAATCATTGGGAATCAAATCAAGCTGATCAGCTTCTGGATCAGTCCCTTTACTGCAAGGAATTTGTAGGGAAAAGACTTTACCATGTGAGAGAGGTTTGTGTTTTGTTTTTGATCTTTCTCAAATCTCTCAGTACTCTGATGTGCAAGGGCTTGTCGAGAGCGCTCAAGACAAAGATGTGGTGGTGGTCGGTGGATCGGTGGATCGTTGAGTTGAGTAAGAAGCTTTTTGCCTTGATCATAAATCCTTGACATTCTATCACAATATCTCTAGAAACTATCACCTTTAGAAGACAAATTGCCGTGCCGATTCTTCAGCCAAAGCACTAATCTCCGTGCTTTTCTTCTCGCATCCCCAATGACCGATCAGAATTTGCGAGGAGGCGATTGGAAGCGATAAAGCGCAAGAGACGAATGAGGCGCATTCCTGTAATGAGGAAAGTAAATGAGATAAAAAAAATTACCATTTAATTACGGTGGTTACATGCATCTTACTAACAAGTCAACTGGGTAAGCTGGCCAAATGACATAGACCATAGACCTATCAACGCAGAATTACACGCTGAGTGCGAAGCTGCTTTCCGTTTTTGCTAAACGACACTCTGCCAAAAGTTATAAGCCTGTAAAGTTTTGTATGGAATTTTAAAAAGCATCCCTCGAGTTATGAAACCCAAGCTATCGACTTTTGGGGACGCTTTTCAAGGTCAAAACTAGAGCCAAAACTTTTGAGCTTCCATTTCGGGCTTCATAAACTTAAATTTTTAAAGAAGATTCGGAATCAGCGTGAAATTCTGAGTCGATAGGTCTATGGCTCATGTCATTTGGCCAACTTACCCAGTTAGCCTTCCCTTGTAAATCTAGTAGAAAGATTCAAACCCAAATCAAAATATGTCAAATAAGCTTGAATTGAAATTTAGAAGATAAGCTTTAAAGGGCGCTTTTCAATTGCTAAAAATATGGCCAGAGTTGGGCTAGTGGATAGTGGTCGTGGTTCGTTCTCGCTCTTGTTTCGGTTTTGTATTTCTTTGTAATGCTTCCAGATTTTTATATTGCTTATTGTGCTGTAAATCGTTTTAGAACAAAAATGCACGAATTTTGCTTTTATCAGATGTTCGCATTGTGTTCCTCAAATTTTTGATTGTTTTGGATGCTTCGTGATTTTATTTCATGAAATTAACGTCTAAACCGTCACCTTTTGCTTTGTTAGATTGAATAGTTATAAAGTAAAATATTACATTTAAAGAAAAAGAAAATCCAAGAGCGGGATCGAACCCCATTCCTATTACCGAAAGTCGACACACTATCCACTCGGCCATCGGTACTCTATATCATGTAATCATTGAAAATCCGCCCTTTAAAGCTTCAATTCAATTTTCTTTAATCCTTAAAGCTTCGAAATTTCAATTCAAGCTACATTTGCCAGAATTTGATTTCAGATTCTGAATCTTTATACTCGATTTGGTAAGATGTGTGATTCGGAGACGAAAGCTCACGAGAAAGCAAGAAGTTCGTGCCTTTCGTAGTCAGTCAACCGGTCCGGAGACGCATGTCAGTAAACGGTAATTCTCGAAATCGAAACACAAATCAATTAACCCTAACCAGTAATCCGGTAATTACAGTACATTGTCGTACACCAGTGGTCAATCAATTACAGTACTTGAGGTTAAAGAACTCAATAAAAATGTAATAAAGAGAAGAATATGAGTCTCAAATTCGGCGGTTTCGGTCATCGAAAGGCTAGCCTAATAATTGTCGGCTCATAAACGCCCTGGCACACTGCACGAGGACTAAGATGAAATAAGACACAATGAAACTTTGAACATTAGTTTCAGATTGGGTCTTGACGAGTGCTTGAATTTTTAAAAAGTTCAAATCAAAATCTTGACGAGTGCTCGAAAGTGAACGCGAGTCGGCTGGATGGTTGAAGAGGCGAGTTTTGCTCTTGGGTTGCGAAATGGTGCGTTCGCACTTTTATGAGTCAAGGTCTCAGGAAATGAACTCGAAGAATATGTAGATTAAAAGAGCAAATTTCAACTTTGCCTAATCATCCAGCAGCAGTGGCAAAGCTAGCGACACTTTACGTTTATCTTTTCTTCTTTGGTACTTCTCTTGTCTATCCTTATTTCATCTTAGTCCTCGTGCAGTGTGCTCAGGGCGTTTTATGAGCCGACAATTATTAGGCTAGTTTTTCGATCACTGAACCCGCTGAATTTGAGACTCACAAATTCTTCTCTTTAGTACATTTTATTGATCACAATTTGAGCTGGTCGGGAGTGGAGTGCAGAGAAAGGTGCGGGAAAGGAAATATGAAGAAAATTAAAACCATCGAAATTCAGGTTGACCAGACTGACTCTCGGCATTAAAAAAGTTTGCGGTCAATGCCAAGATGCCAGCCGAACAATACCAAGAAGGCTCCTCCCGTTCCCTCAATTCCGATACAACTTTGGGCGATTTTTGCGATAGATTAAAGCAAAGCAAGACAGCAGCTAAAGCCAAATAGGCAACGGATGAAGTTTTGCAGTTTTTCCCTAGTCTCACAAACGTCTATGACTCACTGTTGACAGGTCTACTGTTATTTGAATAGTATTATTGCAATAATATCGTCTATTAGTTGTAAATAATGTTTGCAGTTTTTAGACTTAAAGGCTTTCTTTCTTCCCAACATTCGGATTCGTCCACCGCCACTCACCGCTTCCTCCACCAATTCCCCAAGTGATTCCCATTGGGACAAGGTGGCTATTTGGAGAAGGAGACAGGTGGAGTCTATGAAAATGGACATGAGCACCAAGAACGAATCGGTCGCAACAGGTTATCGGATGAAATCGACAAAGTTCAAGAAATTGTCTTTAGATTGGAGATTTTTATGTTTTTTTTACAAGAATTTTCGCTAGTATAACTAGTTAGAGAGAATAGTTTGGCAAGAATTCCATTTAATTATCTGATTAACCATCAATTTGACATTTGTTATAGCTAAACGACCCTGGTAAGAGTAATCCTACTACTCTACCGTACCCTTCCCCTATTTTGCACTAAACTTTATCTTTCCGTACCTGAGCCGCTAACTAGTTTACCTTATTTCCTTACAAATTTTCACTCTACAAATTCCTTTCAAATGGGTATTCTCTTGTCTTTTGTTAATGAATGCAAACTTGTCGTTAAATAAAAAATTAAAAGAAATTATTGCAAGAATGGGGAAAGCAATCAAGAAATAATAATGTAACAAGAAAACCGATAATAAATTGAGAAATGGAAAAATCACATCAGAATAGGCAAGCTGAAGCGAGAAAAGGACTAAACTGAAAAAGAACGAGAAAAAGATATTAAGAAACAGAAGAATAGCTTAGAAGTGTCAATATTACCTAAAAACCTGGAGTTTAGAAAGCACGGGTTAACACACTTTAAAAAAGTATTATTACACCATCATCACGGCTTCCTCTTGTAGAGCGAATCGCTGTAGTCTTTGTGCATCATTTGATCGACCGCCTTCAGCACTACCTAAAAAAGCATAAAAGTGCGATGAGCGCGACTTGAACGACTCACGTCTTTATTTAAATCCGTTATCAGATCGCGCGCCTCATCACACAAGCCACCGAAACGACCGATCAACGACTCCATTTCTAAAATAAGAGCGTTTGAGCAAATTACTAGCAGCCTATTTCAATTTTGTTCACCTACACGTACTATATTGAATTAATACCGATATCTTTCTTCCTAAAAACAATTTGAAATTTTACCAGCACGCATATGAGCCGCTCGGTCCTTAAGCGGTGATAGGAACAATGGATCCGGAAAGTCTTGAAGCTGCTGCTGCGAATTGCGAAGACGAACATGGCCTAAAATGAAAGATGGCCTATAAGAACAACTAAAGCCACACCCAGCTTAGCACTGTTTGACAAAAGTAGTGAAACATGAAGGCTCTAAAACTAAAACTTCAACTACCTACTCACTTTGAATCTTGTTTGCTTGTCTGCGTACTAAAACTTCAACTACCTACTCACTTTGAATCTTGTTTGTAATGCACACTCTTTCCCCAATAATCAATGAACACTCTTCCCCATCACCCAGATCAAAGCTCTGTGAATGGGGGACATGCAGCAGCCGTAAAAAGGGATGTTTCCATAGGTTATTTGAGAACTTTATGGTAGCAAATGTCGCGTATAATGTTCTTTAGACAAAAGGACGTCTCTTCCCTTTTATATAAAGTAAATTCATTTTGAAAGGAAAAAGCAAAACTAATTTTCTCGGGGAACGAACCCACGACTCCTCTTTCCCACTCTCGTTTTCGTTTGCGATCGGAAAAGAAACGGCATCTCGAAATTCGATCTGGACGTCAAGGAAAGTGTTTGTGACAGACAGACAGACAGGCAGACGTTTTTTCTGCTTTAGGACGAAGATTTGTGACCTGTTCATCCGTGCCACCATTCGATTGCGTCGGCGCGTCGGGATCTCGGTGGAAGATCGGAAAGCATGTAGCGACAGCGGAGAGACGCTGTAAGTCTTCTTCTTTAGATTTCTTCCTTAAAATCACAGTTTAATCAAAGGAAAAGCTTTTGTTAGAGTTCTAACATCAATTGCGATAATCGAATTATGATAATTGCAATCTCCTGGCACCATTTCGATAATATTAGCTGATCTGTGAGTCAATTTTCACCGCAAAAATCGTGTTACAATGTTCTAAAGCCATTGTTAGTCCGTGAAAAACCGAAATACACTCGAATGTAAACAAACAAAAAAAACACCAAGCCCAAAAACCCATCGAAATTTCACCGCCAACCTATCAATCGCCTCATCGCCAAAAGTGGCTCGCATTTTCTTCTCGATTTCCCCCTCCAACTGCCTTGCCTCAATCTCTTCCGGACTCAGCGATCCATCGTGAATCTTCACCTCATCATACCCAGTTTCTCCATCCATGTTTGGTTGTGTGTTGGGAAGGATGATTTGGCCTCGCACAAAACAAGCCCTTTCAAATGCGCTGAGAATCGAAAAGAAGACGGGGAAATGAGATGTGGAAAAGAGAAATGCGGAAGAGGGGAAAGGGAGAGAAATACTAGAAACTACGGAAGGGAGAAGAGACCTTTTTGGAGGGGGGAGGTTGGGAAAGCTGAGAGGAGGGGAGAGAACTTTGTTTGACTCCTTCAGAGGTGCACTTTGTGCTCTTCGGAATACCTTTAAACACATTCTTTTTGGTGCACCTAATTTCCGCATTTCCCGTTAAGTTATTAAGAAAAGAGTAAATCGGGGAAGCTTAACTTTATAAAATAGGAATTCTAGTGAGAGAAGTTGAATCATTGACTTTAACTGCTATATCCTAGATACTGTGCTAACTGCTATATCCTAGATACGGTCTATACTTTCTTTGGTACTATGTACCGTACCCGTTTGTTCGATAAAACAGCGGCTGGCTAACAATGAAGCATTCTCCTAGAAAAATCTAGCTAAAGATTTGGTATTATGAGTTACAAAATGGCTTCTCTTGTCTCTTTACTGCTCTATAACTTGCTTATCCACTTTTTAAAGCAATTTTATAATTTTAAGGCAATCTAAAACATAAACATTCTTTTCTTTCTTCCTTCGGTCTTAGAAATTCCAGTCACCTACAATAAGTTTGTGTATAACTCTTTTCCAGCAAGAACTGCCAGAATTTGGAATCGACTCCCCAGAGTTTTCAGAGAGTCCAATAGTCTTAAAGCCTTTAAATCTGTAGACGATCTTGATGAAAGCTCTAGTGGATCCTTGACGTTATCTGTGCTACCCATAACATTATATCGTGTAGTTTTTTATCGGCCCTTTTCGGTTTATTTGTATGAATTGATGTGTTTTAGTCTTAAATCTAGCGCACTTTATCTCAGGTAAAGTATATATCTATCGATATATATGTTACGTCCGAATCTGAGGAGACGCCCATCTCCGATCCGGACGTCCGAATCTGAGCCGATTCATTCTCCTCTGAAACGGACGCCCGACTCAGAGATGGACCTCCTCTTCGGAGGAGAATGAACTTAGTAGAATTTAGTAGACTTGAAAAAGCACAATCACATCAATTTTACCTTTGAATTTGAAAGAAAAAGGAAAATTTGAATCTGAATACATGTGTTTTGTTCAAAACATTGGATTTTGCATTTAAACTATTTGTTCTCAAGGTCGGACATCCAATTCAGAAGAATGATCCTTCTCCTCCGAAACAGTTTCAGAGGAGTCTCTGAGTCGGACCTCCGTTTCAGAGGAGAATTTCAGAGGGAAAATTAAAAAACACCAATTTTTTCTTCATAGTAAAGTCGTTTTCCTAACCCTTTAGCTTCTAGCGATTAGCCCAATTTTGTTCTGATTAACTCGAGGCTTGTGATTCCCTCAGCGAGTGTCACCAAAAATTAGGCTAATTGAGGGTAAAACTGGCGGAAGATTACGGTAGTTTTGGCTGAAATTGATTGTTTGTCTGTAAGGGCTTTTTTTAGCCTTACAGACTCAAATTGAGTGTCTGTAAGTAAGGCTTTGTCTTATAAAACCATCTTATAAAGCTGTGCTAGGGGTTTTAAAAGTACTTTTTAACCAGGTCAGATCAATTTACGTCCGCATTCATTTCGAATCAGTTTTCTGTCCGGAGAATTTCTAATTTACTCAGCAAAGGCTACATTTTACATTTGCATTTCTAAAGATACAATTCTAAAGAATTTTAAACCGATTCTAGGATCACCACGAGGAGGATCTTTTTCCTCTACATCGACTACTCCCATGAGAGTGTTTATGGGGCAGATGGAGTGAATGAACGATTGAATGAATGAAGGAAAACACGAGCAAATATCGACTCTAGCTATTCAATTCTGAACTCTTTAAAAGAACTCTTCAACGTGTTTTTTAAGCGTGTTTTGTTCAAAACATTGGATTTTGCATTTAAATTATTTGTTCTCAAGGTCGGACATCCAATTCCGAGAAGAATGATCCTTCTCCTCCGAAACGTTTCAGAGGAGTCTCTGAGTCGGACTTCCGTTTCAGAGGAGAATGAATCGGCTCAGATTCGGACGTCCGGAACAGATCAACAAGAACAGAAAAAGCTTTTGGCACAGGTAAATTAATGTTCGAATTGTTTAAGTTTAGGTTTGTTTGATGTTTGGGATTGTTTAGGTTTCAAAATCTGTAAATTTATAAGCTGATAATATTTTCAGAAAGTTTAGGTACCTATTTTTGATGTAGAAAGATCTAGAAACTAGAGATGATGATTCATATCAATGAATTTTAGAGCACAAAGAACATCTTGACGCTCAAGAATTGAATAGATTTTACATAATTTTGGAGATTTTCCAGGTGTGAGTCAAAAGAAGACGCGTTCCTCGCATTCTTCCGTCGATTCAGCCCTTTCACCATCGCCGTCCGTCGAATCTGATTGATTTCGAGTCTCGGATTGATTAGAGGATTCTTTAAAATCTAGATCTAGAAACTAGAAAGATCTAGAAACTAGAGATTTTCGAGTTCTTTGAGTTCAGGTGAAAGCTTTCCTTTCCTAATATTTCAGTTTTGTTCTGTTCAAATGAAAACCTGAATCAAAATCTTCTTCGCCATCACATCGCGTCCCATTCCGCAATCTCTCCATTTTAAACTCAATAAACTATTGGCTTATTAGAATCATTGAATGTGTGCCAATGATTTCCTCGAAAGCTCTTCAGAGAATGTCCGTTGAAAATGGTTAAAAATGAGAAAGGCCGACAGACAGACTACAGTATCCTCAAGAAAGACAGACAGAAGGCAGACAGACAACAGAAGACAGACTACAGTATCCTCCAGACAGACAGAAGACAGTTCATAGCACATAAGACCTGCCCCAAGATGACAACAAGTTTTCCCTGTGCCGTCTCAAAACCCTCCGCAAAAACAATTGAATAATCAGGAGAAGTATTCATGTTTCAAAATATCTAATCTATAAGTGAAATCTTAAGAATTAATTCAATTCTTTCCTCTTTGATATAGGAATTTCAAATTTTACTCGAATTTTCGTCACTTTTAGGTTAGCATTGTGAAATTGTGACTAAGCAAAAAGCACAAATCTTTTTTGGTTTTTTTAAAATAAATTTTAATAAATTTTGAAACAAAAGAATTTAACAAACCCTAATTTGAGCACTGTTTGAGCACTGTATCGACTGACTGACTTAAAGGCTTAAAAAGCAAAACCAATTAGCACTTTTAAACGCACAAAATGCCGGTGAGAGCCGGTTTCTGAAGAGCTTGCTGGGGTTCAAAGGATTATCGAGACTTCCTCACTTCCCTACTTGCCCAAAATTGAAACCTAAGCTTTTCTCTTGCTAGAATTGTTTTGTTAGTCTCACTAGCTACTAAAAAATAGCATAAGCACCAGAAAACAACCAAAAAAGATTTGTGCTTAGTTCAAATGTTATTACTCAACTTTTTTTTTGTATTTCCCCCTTTGTCTTTGTCTTTGTATGTCCCCCTTTATATGTCATACCCCTTTTGTTTATGTCTTTTTTATGTGGGAGGGATGGGAGGGCTTTTTTAATAAAAATTTTGGGAAAAAAGTTGTGAAAAAAACGCAAATGAAGAGAATGAAGAGAAAAAACCATGCACGGCGTACTTTGAGCGGGGCTCTAATCTTACTCAATGTGGCGACGGTTGAAATCATAAGTGACGAAAAAATTACCTAAAATCAATTTGAGGTGAATCTGCTCATCTGCGGGCAGAATCTTCACCTGTTTGTTAATTGCTACCGTTATTTCTCGACGAGGAGCAATGATCTCTTTGCATTTTGGTAACGGTAACGAGTCTTTTTCTCGATGCCAACAAATCATCTTGTACTCGGCGTACTTTGAGTGGGGCTCTAATCTTACTCAATGTGGCGACGGTTGAAATCATAAGTAACGAAAAAATTACCTAAAATCAACTTGGAAAAAGTGAATCTGCTCATCTGCGGGCAGAATCTTCACTTGGTGTTAAACCGTTAATTCTGTTTCTCAAACTAGCTTTTCTGGTAACGGTAACGAGTCTTTTTCTCGATGCCAACAAATCATCCCTTGGGGGCAAGATCGATCTTGGGGGCAAGATCGATCTTGCCCAAGATGACAACAAGTTTTCCCTGTGCCGTCTCAAAACCCTCCGCAAAAACAATTGAATAATCAGGAGAAGTATTCATGTTTCAAAATATCTAATCTATAAGTGAAATCTTAAGAATTAATTCAATTCTTTCCTCTTTGATATAGAAATTTCAAATTTTACTCGAATTTTCAAAAGAATTTTTCGAAAAAGAATTTTTCGAAAAAGAATTTTTCTCGAATTAGATTGCATTTTGATTGGTCCTTAGATTGCATATTGCATATTGTATTTTTCGGAATTCATCCTCAACCAACCAATTGTTTTTCACGCCATTAAGCTTTTTGATTTAAACGAATTTCAGCAGTTTACAGTTGAAGTGGCCAGCCTTTAGACCAGTTTTTAATGGAATTAACGATTAATGGAATGATTAATGATTAATGATTAATGATTAATGGAATAGGCAATGAGTCAAACTCTCACAAACCTAGAATCAAGTACTTAAAATAGGGAAAATTGTGATGAAGGCAAATTGATCGGATGATTTTTTGAAATACAGCTTCTCTGTAAAACAGTCTCGACTTTTTCACAACCGGAAAAATGCCCGGTTAATTGGCAAGGTTGTACCTAAAGTACCCGGACAGGGTTCCAGTGAGGGAAAAGGGTACGGTACATAGTACCAAAGAAAGTATAGACCGTATCTAGGATATAGCAGTTAGCACTGTACCCTAAAGTGCTTGTTGTTTCTTAGAATACCTAGTAGCTCCTAGGTATTCTAAGAAGGCTGAGCCAATCTAGTAGAAGTAAAGTACAGTACAGTACTGTCAAAAATGTATTGTCTAGTGCTCCGAAAATCCAAAAACAATGTACAATGTTGTACC